GCCCCTTCAATGTGCTGTGGAGCTGTGAGCAAGCTCCTCTCCTTACCCTGGGCCTCGGTTTCCTCTTCTGTAACTGAGAGGTAGGGTCTAATTTCTGAGGCCCCTTCCTTCAGGGGCCTTTCCTGGACCACCCCACCCTTCAGGGATCTGACCTCACTCTAGAATTCAGTCAGAGCCACAGGGTGTGCAGGGTCTTTAAAGACCCATCTCTTTCAAGAAGCCTCCCTGGCTAGCTGAAGACAGAAGCGCCTTCCTTTATCCCACATTGTCACAGTGACTTGAACCCAACACCCATCACCACAGCTGCTGTCTGTGGGGCAGCATTTATGGCGGTTCCTTCTAGGGTCAGAAGGCAAGGCCAGGGGAGTACCTTGGCTCAGGGGTGCAGATTACCCTTGGGAAGGTCCCCAAATGGCACTGAGAGTTTTCAGGGTAAGTAAGGCTCGCCTCAAAGGTGGACAACACTAAGTTCAAATGCAGGCCTTCCTTATCTGCTGTGAATCCCTCGGTAATGGCACCGAACCTTTCTGGGCCTCCAGTTCCTCTTCCACAAACTGCAGACTTTGCAGGGTTATTGTGAGGATTAAATGAGAGAACTTAGAAGAAGTACCCTGCACACAGCAGGTGCCTAATAAACACCCAGTCCTCTAATTACCCACCCACCCTCACTGAGCAGGGCCCAGATCCAGCCATACCTTGGGATAGAGCACAGGATAGAATCGATCCACATTTACGTCTTCACACACCAGCTGCAGGAGGAGATAAGGGAGGGCCTGAGGGTGAGGCCTCTGGGCCTCCCTGGCCAAGATCTGGGGGAGGACAGCAGGAGAAACGGAGAGGGGACAACCAAGGCTGAAGCAGGCCTGGGGGCTGTCACTCAGAATAGGGTTCAGAGATCTGGGGTCCCTTATCTCCAAAAGATGCTCTAAAGAGTACACAGGCAGAGGACAGGAGCCCTGAATATATGCCAGCATGTGGATATCGTGTGAACATGTGAGAGGCAGGACCCTGGAGACAGGCCACAACATGCAGGCTATATAATCTGGGGCTAAAGATGAGGGTGCGCAAAGGCGAGGCTGCAGCCCCCCTCTGTGCTCACCTGGGGCACCCAAAGGGGCTCACATGAAGGATCAGAGGCCTCACCTTTGCCATCTGGACCACGTTGGGGAACTCGGTGAGGCAGGAGATGGGGATGACATCGTGGTATGTCCGGCATTTGGTCCTGGGAGGAGAAAATCCAGTGAGAGGTGAGGCAGTGGGAAAGGAGATGGGAGTTCCTCCACACCAAGTAAGACCAGAGAGGGCAGACCCCAGGGAGGTCCAGAGGTGATGAGGGGGCCAGGCCTAGCTTGGGCACTAACGTGCTGTGTGCCCTCAGGCAAATCCCTGGCCCTCTCTAGGCCTCAATTAGAAGAATGGGTAAAATGAGATGGGCTCCTAGATTATAAGACCTCAGCCCCCACTGCTGTCACAGGTCCCCCACCCCACCCTCACCTGAGCAGCAGTCGCAGGTGCTCCTGGTCCCCGATGACATCGTACTTGAGTGAGAAGACAAGGTGGCCCAGGGCAGTGTCCAGTGAGTAGTAATTAAAATGCTCCTGTGGTGGGAGGTGGGGGCCAGGGCAGTGGGTGAGGCTGAGCTTGAGACTTCCAGAAACCAAACCAGAAAGCCAACTTACCTCCGACTGGAGGTCCTTTACCAAATAGCAGGTGCGCCGGCTAATACCACACTGCCTCAGACAGACCTGCTTTCAAATCCCAGCGCTGTCACTTGCCAGCTGGGTAACCTGAGGTCACCTTGCCTTTCTGTGCCTCAGTTTACCAGTCTATAAAATGGGAGTGAGGCCAACTACCCAGTGGAAGGGTGGCAGGAACTGAAAGAGATAGTGCCTGGTGCAGAGTAGGTGTGCAATGAACATCTGTAGTAACTTTGGCTCTCTTGAGTCCTCAGCAAAGTCAGGACCACATTTGCACCTACACGGCTATCTCCTAGCCCCTGCTCTTCTCAGGGCTGGGCACACAGTAGGTGCTCAATAAAAATATGTCAACTGACTGATTGCTCAACCCATGGCTCTGAGGCCCCTGAAGCCAGGGCCCATGAGAATGAGGAAATGAAATATCTCATGCACATACCGGGTGGCTGACCAGGACGGTTCCTACCCTCCTGCCTCACCTGGAAAAGCTGCAGGGTTGGGCAGAAATACCTCCTAGGGAGCAGGGGAAGCTGCAGCAGGGATGGACCCCTCAGACAGGAGCCCAGGGCTGGCACCTCCAGGTGGAGAAGTCTCAAAGCCAAAGGCTGGGAGTGCCAGAAGATTTCAGCCCACCTGGCCCTGGACTCCCCTCCAGCCCAGGCCCTGGGAATGGGGCTGGCTCTCCAGCCACACCCGCCCCAGGAGTCATTGTGGAAGGAAGTCCTGCTTAAATGTGAACACCTGTGCTCAAAGTGGGGGAGGAGAAAGAGGGGCCAGGGGATACACCTCACAAATCCACAGCTCAGGGGCAGTCTGCAGGGGCCTGGGGCAGAGTCCCCTCGGTACTGCTTGGGCATAGAATGATGGAAACCCTCAAATGTTTGGCTTTATCTGCAGAGAGGGAGTGGCCAGCATTTGGCAAGGAGAGCGGCAATGAAGTCCTCAGAGCAGGGAGTTTCCCCCAGAACCCCCTGGCCGGACCCAGAGGAGCCCAAGGAGAGTGGGCTCAGGGTCCGAGGGAGTCAATGCCCCAAGTCACCCTGACCTCCTCCCTCTGACAGAACAGGGCCCAGTGCTTCCCCATTCACCCTACCTGGAGTCAGGAGTGGCCCTGCCTCTCTGCCAGCCTCTGGGACCCCTCTTCTCTGTGCTGTTAACCTGACCCTGGTCATTATGTCTTCTCTGAGCCCCCAGCCTGTGCCTCTTCAAATCTTCCTGTGCTCAAGGCACCACCTTCATTCTGTCACTCGTCCCATCACTCCTTCAGCAAAGTTTTCTGAGCACCAGCTATGTGCTGGGTCCACACAATCCTCCAGATCCCAACACCTGCCAGACCCAACTAAGAGGTTCTAGAGGGTTAGCTCCTGGGATGCAGTCCGTCTTGTCTTGACACACAGGGTTCAGCTGGGAGGTGGAATCCCATGCCCTGTTCTGGGGTTGTCCCCAGGCAATGGCTCCTGAACCTGAGCCTGCTGGGTCAGTCTCAGTCACAATGGATCCTCTCCCTTTCCCCTCCCGGGGCCCCCGACCTTAGCACCAATACCCACCAGCGTCTGGCCAACGCCCTGGGCCCAGATTGAGATCACACAGCTCCCCAACACCCCAAGGAATTACCTGGGTCTGTTTGGTTTGCTGCTGTATACCTGGTGCCTAGAACAGGGCCAGGCACACAGCTGGTGCTCATTATTTGCTCACCTTGACTGAGCACTTACTAGGAGCCGGACGCCAGTCTGAACACCTCACAAACATCATCTCATTAAAGGCTGGCAGCAACGTCATGCAGTGAGTATCATCAGTATCTCCATTTTTACAAATGAGGGAACAGAGGCCCGGAGAAGGTAAATGACTTGCCTGACGTCCCATGTAGTAAGTGGCAAAGCCAGGATTCAAAGCCAGGATTCAAACAGCAGTCTTTACTGTTAACCACTATGCCACAGTACTGCCTTTTGCAATAAATGTTTGTTGGTCGAATGAATCCACCACACATGCTCCCTGAAACTCAGAGCTCTGGGACTGTCACCCAGCCCCAGCCCATGATTCTGCTTCCCCTCAGGCCCAGCCTCCCCCAGGGCTGGACTGTGACCCACTATCTCCCCAGCCCAGCCTCTGAACACCAGTGAGCCACCCACCTTGCCGAGAAAGTGCTTCCGGTAGATGCGGGCTGTGGGGTTGCACTCCAGCTTCACCTTGGTTGTGGGTGACTGCAGTGGCTCCGTCTCCGGGATGCTGGTGATTTCGTGATTGGTGCCTTCAATCCAGTAGCCCCCAAACTGGGGCAGCAGAATGAGGGGGAAGGGCCCTTCTCGCCCCAGGACCTGAAGGAGGACTCAGCTGAGAGCCACCCCAACCCACACTGTACCCCGCTTGGGGCCCAGGACACCCCTTAACTCAGACCTGGAGCCACTTCTACCATGGCTAAGGAGTACTAGGGGTCAGCCCAGAGTCTCTGTGGGTCCCAGGGCTCACGTCCATCCCCTCCAAGGTACCTTCCCTCCCACTGCCAACCCAGATGCACAGAGCCCCATGTCCCAGTCTCAAAGGACTAGGGGGCGGTGGAGGGAGGGGACAGGTAGAGCTGGGAGCAAAACCTTGGTGGAGAAGCTAACATATTTAGCTCAGAGGCCCAAAGGTTCGGATGGGCTCTGAAGTCTTGGGCCTGTAAACTGAGTCTCCAGCCCCTACAGCAAGACCTGTGGTCACGCTCTTGACAGAGAGGAGGACCCAGGTGTCCAGACTCCCTGAGTGAGCGCCTCCTGGACTTGGGGTAGAGATGAGCTCAGTGGGGTCCAGTTACCTCGTGGACACTCGGGTAGGGAATGTAGTCCTCCTCCGTCTGCAAAACACAAGCAGGGCAGAGGTGCAGCTGTGGTGGGGTCCTTGCCCTTACTTCCAGCCTCCCCAAATCACCTGCTGTCCAGCCAGCCCTGCTGGTTGGGGGTGTAGATGGGCTGTGTCCTCAGCTCCTCATCTCACAGGTAGGGCAGAGCTTGCCTTGGGGTGACTCCACGAGGCAGGGCTGAGGTAGGCCTAGCTCACTGAGTGCTGGCAGCCTCTTTTTGGTCTCTTTCTGCCTGGGGAAAAGGAGGCTCACTGCCTCTGGACCAGTGACTCTCAGTGCATCAAAATGACCTGGAGGGCTCGTAAACACAGATTGCTGTGCCCCAACCCCAGAGTTTCGGATGCTGTGGGTCTGGGTGGGGCCCAAGAATTTAAAGGCTAACAAGCTCCCAAGTGATGCTGATGCTGCTTTGAGAACCCCTGCTCTGGACAAAGCACTAGGCTTGTGCCCATGAACCCCACTTTAACCCTCACCCCTGCAGCCCTGAGCCCACTCCCCAAGGCCCAGCCACCAGTCTTTTTAGATTGTTGGGGTCCCAAATCACCAACCATAGAATTGCATGCCTACCTGGAGGGGCTATGCAGCTTCCAACCCCAGAAAATTCTGAGTCTAAATAAGAGCCTCCTCACATCCCCTCAGTCCCCAGCCTCCTGTTAGTCTCTTCATGACGGCTGGGGGGCAACCAGGCTCCCTCTCCCCCTCAGCCCTCCCAGGGAGAAGATACATGGAGTGGGAGAGGGTAAGCCTCCTGGGTCCTGGGTTTGAGTCTTCTTGCACCTGCTGATCATAACTGGTTTCAAAGAAAACATTTTATAACAGGCAGTCGTGAGGGATGGGGCTTCAATTTGGGGAAGCCTGGAGAGGCAGGGTGAGTTTGCAGTGGGGTAGATGGATTGGGGAGGAGCTGGAATGAAGGCCCCTGGCCTATAGCAAGGGAAGGGTTCTCCACATCTCAGACTCCTAACGGGCAGGGCTGGGTGTACCCTGCTATGCTCTTGGCCCCAGGACCTAGCCCACAGTAAGTAAGACCACTTTGAAAGGGTGCAGGATTCTCCAGGGCTGGCTGCTTGGCTGGGGCTGCACTTCCCAGGCCCCACCCCCACCCCAGAGAGGGAGTCTGCCTCCCCTTCCCAACCCCCTCCCTCCCCAAGCCCTTTGGAGAGCGCTGTCCTGGAAGCTGACAGCCCCCAGAAGGGGGGACTGGGGCCAGCTTCACACCTACTTTGAGGGGTGGTGGGAAGGAGCATCGTTGTTCATCCATCCTGCTTCCCTGCGAAGAGAAGCAGGCACACCCCGTTACACCCCTCCCATGCCCACCAGAGGCAGTACCCCTTCCAGGGAGATGGTGATGTGGGGGTGCTCCCAGGGCAGGGTGCTGGCTGGCAGGATTACTCAGGCCTCTGCAGGGCTGGCCCTCCTGGAAGCAACCTGGACTGAGGGAGGCCAGGAGCAGCAGGGAGAATTGGGTGCTCTGTGCCTGTATATTGCCGCCGGGAGTCAGGGCAGGGGCAGTGTGCATGCTTGTGATGGGGAGAGAGGGAAAGAGAGAGAGAAGGAGGGGGAGAGGTAGAGACAGAAAGACTAACAGAGGCAGAGAAGCAGGAAGATGGCACAAAAGAGGGTTTGGATGGTGAACGGACATCAGAGAAAGCTCCTAAGGTCTGTTCAAGTCCCTTGTCCACCTTCCAACACATACCCAAACAAAACAACAAACAAGTGCCTGGAAGACCAGGGCTGGTGAGTGGGGGTTGGGCAGGAGTCAGATAGATTGGGGGGGGTGCTGCCTAGCTCATTAGCACCTCCCCATACCTGCAGCAGAGCCTCCGGTTGCCCCTTGCCCTGTGCCCTGGCATCTATCTCTCCTCCCATTCCACATGGGGGTCCTGCAGAGCCTGTCCTGCCTCTTGGGAGATGGGGGATGGTGTGTGTATGTGGGGGTGGGTTGAAGCACTGACCCCAACAACCTATACAGGGAAGGGAGCGGGGGAGACGCAAGTGGGGCCTGGGCCCTTGGGTTAGTCAGGGAGTTGGGCACCATTAACCCCTCATCCTCTCTTCTGACCCCTAGGCAGAAGGCTCTGGACAACCACACACTGCCACCATCTCCTCCTGGCACAGTGTATAAGAGCTCTCGGCCTGTCCTCAGAGAGATGTAGGGCTGGAGATACAGCAAGGGCCTCCTCACCCCCAGCCCAGCCCCTTCTGTGGCTCCCAGAAAAGGCTACAGAGCCCACCTCACCTGCATCTTTTCAATCATCTCAAACAGATCTGTGTTCTGCAACAGAGATGGAGAGAGCAGGTCAGCCCTCAGGTGCCCAGCTGATCCTGCTAAGTCCCCGAGAAGTCTCCACCCACGCCCGAGTCTCCTGGTCCCCCAACTCTGAACAACCACCGAGCAGCAAGAGGGAGTGGAGGGGACATCATAGGACGGGACTCTGTGCCTCTGACCCACAGACTTTGACCAACTGCCAAGGGAAGTCCATCCAAAGCCCAGCACCCTCCCCAGGGAGCCCACCCCACTGAGTCCCCTTCCCTAATGGAGAAGGCTGCTGCTTCAAACAAAGAAGGCTGCGACCCTTGGGGAGAGACATCTTCCCCATGTCACTGCAAGGGTGGCAGTGCCAGGATCAGCCCACAGACCTCTCAGAAGGGCCCCAGGTCCCAGCGCCAGAGACAAGCCCGGCTGGGATCCTCACAGGAGGGTCTGTGGTTCCACCTGCCTCTCTTGGAAAAGGATCTCACCCTCTCTCCCAAGCAGTGTGGCCTGGGGGCGCTGCTGGGGGAGAGAACGCTGGGATGTCCCACTGGCCCAACACCTGCGTGTGAGTCCACACACACCCCCTCCTCCCCACTCAGGCTCCAGCCAGCCTCTCCCGAGGCTAGCCAGGGCACACACAGGGTTAACCTGGGCATCTGCCAGCTGTGCTTGGCAGCTTCAGCCTCTCTAGCGCCAACTCCCTACAAGCTTTCCTGGAAGGCAGCATCCTTGCAGGCTGGCGGGGCTGGGGGCTGGGCCTGGGAACCCCCAGGGTCTCTAAGATGGTGCCCCTCCCCCAGCACCTCCAAGGCCTCAATTCAGTCAGCTCCTGCAGTCCAGTGGGAGCACTGGCTGAGCTCACACATATTTGCTATGGGGTTGTGCACCGAGAAACACACTCTCCCTCTCTCTCTCCCTCTAAAACACAGCAGCCTGTACACCAATATTTAAACGCAGTCTCACTGTACCAAAGAAAGAAAACACACAGAAACCCACACACACAAACCCACTGGGTCTGTACACATCAACTCTTAGACACAGACTACATGCTAACATACAAATACACGTGTCAGTGTCCTACATTTCACAACAGCACACTCACTCACACATACACACAGGTCCATGCCCTGCAAGCGCCACACACACAAATGCAAACCCAGCCCTATGCAGATCTGCACACCAGCAATTGCTCACGAAGCTACACAAACACCACAAAATCACTCTCACATCTGTGTGCCGAGAGATACAATAACATGCAGTCACAGATACAGGCAGGTATGTTCATGGAAACTGAGACACAGAGCCCCACTCCCACGCACTTGTTCACCCTTCCACATCAGAGTCACACACCTTGTGTAACAGACAAGACAGACTTGATCCCATAATATAAAAGGAGTTCTGAGAAAACGAAAAAGCAGGCAGAAACTGTAGGAGTGGTTAATCACCAAGGATGAGGGGCACAGGTTTGAACCACACACACACACAAACACACACACACATACACACACACACAGGAGCTCTGCCAAAGATCACGAGACAGACACCCCATGTGCACACTCTAAGGCCTGCCCACAGAGGCAAAACCTACCCTGTAAAATGCATGACAGAAGTCCACAGGAGACGCTGACCCATGGACCCCTCTGGCCACACCCAACACTTCTGAGCTTGGAAGAGACAATTCCATAGGCAGTTACAGCAGAGACCAGACACACATCTGCAATCCAGGCAGACAAACACACCTGTCAACCCAACACCTTATACAACAGAAACATCAGCATCTATGCCTGGGTTAGCCACACCACCTCAGCCCAGCATAGCCCCAGCACGACAGTGATGGGGTGCACTGATGTCTCCCAGAGTACCCCACTCCGGTGACCTAACGTGGCCAGGAACAAGGCACCGGGAGTCACAGTCACATAAACATTGACACATGGTACTGTCACCCAGAGCACACACACAGCAACAAGTGACACCCACAGATACAGGCTTGCTAGTGCATCAGGCACTCTGAAACATGAAAGGCTGTGAGCAAAGTGGCTCAGGGCGCCAAGCAAAGTTACACTGTGACATTCAGACCCCTCCTAAATGGAGGAGGGGATAGATGAAGTGGTCCAGAGGCTAGTCTCTCTGTCTCTCTGTCTCTCTGTCTCTCTCTCTCTC